CTGAGGAGCAACAGCTGAGCCGGAACTACACTAATGGAGTGGAGCGTGGTTGCCTCAGAGGTGTCTGGTGCTGGGCGTACTGGGCAGAAGGCCCTTTCACCCTCCATCCTGCTGCCGGGCTGTTGCCTGCGTGCTCCTTCTTGAGAGCTTATTGCATGGTGTGCCCCCGTCTTCGAGGGTGTACTCTCACCTCTGTAATTTCAGCAGCCTCCCCTTCCTTATGTCTTCCACTGAGCTATCTTTGCCAGTTTTAAGGTAAAATCCTACATTTGCTGTAGTAGATATCTGTGGATGGGGGGTTGTTTACTGAGTCAAAGTTTAACAGATCTTTTTAGCACTATTATTTTTATGAGGATATTTAGAGTTTTATCTTAGCATTATGGTTAGAGTACTGTACAGGCTTTTAGTGATCTGCCCCAACACTGTTTCTGCGAAAAGCCATGTTATTTTCAATGTACGACTCTGCAGAACACAGGGTTTGGGGAATGTATATGTCACATTGTAGCAGAAACGCCTGTTCCGTGCACCAAAGACTTTCCCATTAGTTATGATGACATTCCTTCCAGAAGTCCTTTGAAGCAGGCATAAATTGCAATCACCACACTCATTTTCAGATGAAGAAACTGAGGCTCAGAGATGTTAAATGACTTATCTAAAGGAGATGAGACAGGACTTGAATCCAAGTCTTCAACTCCAAGTCCATTCACCCAGTTTCCATTGTACGCATGACAATGAATGTTTTTTCATGGTAGTCAATCCGTCACTAAGTTATTTTGGGAACTGCTGCTGTTCCATTTTACGGCTGAGAGCCTGATGTTCAACAATTTAAGAAAATTGGCTTAGATCACACTACTGGGAAGAGAATATGTTGAAATTTGAACCCATGTCTTCCTGATTCCAAAGACCATACCTTGCCACAATATCAGTGGAAAATGCCTTGAAGCATAAGAGACAAATTATCTATTTTAATGATTCTGTATTTACTTTTCCAGTTGTCTGTCTATGACAAGTAATACTTCTTATCCATTTATAGCAGAAACTTATCATCTCCTATTTAAAAAACTTTAAGTTTTAAAAAAGGAATCTATTTAAAGAAAAGGAGTAAGTAAATTGATTTTAGAGAGGTAAGTAGACATAGCAAAATGGAAAAAGTGATGGGTAAATGACTGAAACTTCAGGAGTACAATTCTTAATCCTAACAAATAAAGTCCTTCATAAAATATTTGCCTAATGCAATGAATTCCCATAAGCTATATCAGCAGATATTTCTAAATTACCTAGAATAGAAAGGAAATTAAAAGAAGTTTAATTCCCTGAACAGTATTTCAAGGAATTTAACACACTCCTCTTCATTTCAGAGTCTGTGCCAAAGGTATTTCTTTGCAGGACTCAGAAGCACTTGGTCTAAGCAGTACTTGGGTTCTTATAAGAAGAGGAAACAGTAGAAGAGCAGACTTAATATATTTTCTTCAAGAGAGTAATGGAAGTTTGAAGGCCTAGTGAATATTCCCACATGATCCAGATGCTTGATGTTCATGTTACACAGAGAAACAAAGTAAGAGGCCCGGGGCCCACTGGGGACACTTAGGTTTCCATCTTATCTTGGCCACTCAGTCAAGTGACAGTTGAGGGGTCTCACTGTCCCCACTGGCTAAAAGAAGGAATTCTGATTTCCATACCATTTTCCCTCAGTGTGAGACACACCCAATCAAGAATGACTATAACTGGCAAAAGCAGCTGTCCGTGTAAGTTAAGAGGCACCTGCCCACCAGAGGCACAGAGCCTTCCAGGTCTGAGAGTCTGTGATTCATGATTTAAGTTCCTTGGATTGCAGGTGGCCACACAAGTTGCAGTGATGTATATGAAGGACCATTAAACAGTCTATGAATTATGCTTAGAACGTTACACCACGGGCAACCTAAGCCAAGCTGGTGTAAATTCCTACCTGCCCTACTAGGCAGTGAGGACTCGGATTCATTAAATGTCCATGTTAATATCACTGTGCTCATTACAATTGTAGACATGGAGTTTGTATTTTTAAGAAATGCATAAGTGACTCTGTAATATATTGAACACAATTTAAACTGTCCCTGGTAAATACTCTCTTTTCCTCACTATATTGTTAAATTTTTTAATTAAGAAAGCAATGAATGATGATTGTAGTACATTACAAATATTCGTAGTATATGGCACAAATACTCACTCCCTCCTTCCAAACCTCCACCAATATTGGACGTGGCCATGTGACTTGCTTCAGCTGATAGAATGTGGGCCAAAATGACAACACATCAGTTCTAAGCCTAGGTCTTAAAAAGCTTTCCATGTTGGGACCCCTCCTACACTGCTGGTGGGAAT